GAGAGCTATATCGTCCTCGATGTGACCGGGTCGCTGGTCTGGGCCGTGGATGGGATGAGGATGGGGCTCTTCCGCGGGAGCCGGCAGTGATAACACAGGTGCCGAAGGGCTTGATCCTTTGGATCCTCCCTTGCTCAATGTCTCACCACAGAAAAATTGAAACACATAGGAAGCCATGGCTGAGGCACAAAGGATGCCAAACTATTGAAGCTGCCACGGGCCAAGCTCTCAGTGCCGGCGGGGACTGGTTAGAATGCGAAAAGTGCACTGAAACTTCACAGTAAGCAAAAAATCCTAAATTTGAAGCTTTCAGAGCAACATCTCGGCAGGGAATCCCCTAGCTATATACAGATTGCGGAGTTCCTGCAGTTGATGTTTCCGATTACTCGGAGGCCAGGAATACTGTACAATCAAGGCTTTCCGAGATAAGTAGCCTGAAACTCGAATGGACCAACTCCCTGCTGATCGTGGATTCCTGATAGACCAGGCTTTGTCTGGTTGCAGGTAGGTCACAGTCCTGTTGGCCATGTTGAGCCGGAAGCCCAGAAAGTGATGATTCGTAACTTCTTCCAGCTGGATGGTCCCTCCATAGAAAGAGAGGTGTTGAAAATCTTTCATGCATTGATGCGACAGAAAAGTCTCGTCGCATACAACCAATCGATTGTCAACATACCTACAGACAAACAGTTCCGACGCCTGGTTGTCGAAAAACCTAGCTGAACTGAGGAACTGATGCCATTCTCTTTGCCAACAGGATTCTCTTTGAAGGCTGCTGAGTACCGGGCTGATTTGATTGCCTATACACGTGCCCCGGTGTTGCCTGAACAACAGGCCGAGAGTAGTGAACACTCCTGCTTCAAAGGAAGTCTGTACAATAGCAGTCAAGTCAGAGACATGAAGAAATCGTATATGTTTGGCGCCCTTTGCCATGGGTTTGCCTGGCCAAGCAGACTCACAGTTGGGCTGCTTTTTCAGGGTTACCGTAATATGTGGAGGGTATTCCTGGTCCGTATAAAGCTGTACAAGAATTGACAAGGAATCCAAGATTTGCTGCCTGGGTACAGAGTTGAAAAATCCCACTAGATCGTCGTTGACCTCAGCAAAATGCACCGCTGGAGGGGTGCGGCGGAGAAACTGATGCAGTCTCTTCCAAAGTTGAGGGGTGGTGGCTAGGCCCATGGCCTCAGGCCACACCAAGCGGACCATCAAAAGAATTGCTTGCGCAGCTGCAATCAACAACTTCTTGATGCAACTGTTAGAGTACGATATTATCGTCCTCCCCTTCAAAAATTCTTTCTTTCTTTTGAGGAACACGAACCCTACTGGCAGGGTGCCCGAAGCATTGATTCCCCAGCGATATCGTCTCTTCAATGTGCCGGGAATCTGTTGGAAAACTTGTTGGTTCCAGAGTTCTTTTGAACCTTCCACAGGTTCAAACACGTCCGGATCCTGCCAGGTCTTCATGGCAGCTTGAAGGTAGAACTTCGGACAGAAGACCATAAGATGATTCGGTTCATGGTCTTCACAATGCCCAATAAAGCGTCGATGCAATAAGTTGCGAGCAGCGGACACATCCTTCCACGTGAGCCGACTTTCTTGGCTCAGGTGATCCAGATGCTTACTCCATTGCTGCTCGAGAAACTGCCGAAAAGTTTGGTCTACACCCTTGAGAAGACAATGTTTGCGCCTCCAAGATGCAAACATACGGGTGTTGTGATTGAAAAACTCTCGTTTGGACGGAAAAAACGCTGAGGATGCACTGCCACTCCCTAATTTTTCAAAGGAGTGGTGCAAGCTACCCAACTGCTCAATGCCTGCTACAACATGGCCCCTGGTGAGGCACTGTTCTGGCAGTTGTTCGGTGTAATAACTGCAAGGACACGGTGCATCAGCAACACAGTGAGTCTGCAACCACTGATCCCAGTCTTTGAAATTGTGCAGAAAGTCTTTGAGAGACTGATGGGGTTGCTCCCTAACTTTGCACACCGGCAGATGAAAAGGTATAAGAATCGGCTTGTGTGCCAACACAAGCTTTCGGATCCATCTAGACACATCTGACCCGAAGCTTGAGGATGCAGTGAACTTCAACTGCAAGCCTAAGGCAGCCGTGAGCCAGGACATATTGCGATACTGGCAAACACTCCGGAGTACTTTCCTGGCTTTGCTTTTGCCAGGCTCTTCCAAACAATTGCTCAACCGAATCAGGAAGTAAATCTCATCAGGAAGGTAGCGGTCGCTTCGCAGCTTTTTTGCCTCTTCAAATAAGGGGGCACGGCTGAAGCATGTAAGATTGAACAATATCTCCCACGCCGACCTTCTTTTTAGCTGAAAAGGAACGGGCTGGAGTTGCCTGTGGAGTTTCTTTCTCAGTTTTCTCCACAGTCTTAGCGACACACTGTGTCGAACTCTCTTGTTGGGTCTAAAGCCCAATGCACTCCTCTTCAAAAAGGAGGTAATGTATGGGTGATTCAGCTTGGGCTGCCACATCCCAATTAAGCAGTGCTCAGTAACCCATGCTTCTTTGTAGGTTGAGCACGGAGCAACAAGAAACAGAGTATACTGTTCGAAACACTGATTGGGCACCCAATATCGAATTGCTAGCTCGGCTTGAGCTTCACCTCCACTGGCCAGCTTCCTGGCGACTGAGAATCTGTTAGACTCTCTTCGAAAAACTGATTGGCTCGTGGATCCTATGTACATAAATCTGGAAGGCTGCCTGTAGTGCTCAATACTTGAAAAATGGCGCCAGTCCACAGCTGTTTTCATGTACACCGCATTCTGAGATTGAAATCGTGGCCACGTGTAGGTGGCAGGGTGGACCCGAAAATGCTGAAGCTTTTGTCGAATAGTCTCAGCATAAGACAAGGGGGATCCATCTTGAAAGTAGAACAACAACAGCAACAGATGAAGCAAGCCTTGGGCCCACAGTGCAGATTCTTTACTGAAGCTCGAAGATTTGTGCAAAAAGAACGTCACAGCCTCTCCCAACATACAAATTTGCTGCTTGATTCGCTGTTTGCTGGAAGCAGCAAGATGTTGGCATTGAACTGCTAGTCAAGCAGATTGAAACTGTGCAACCGCAATCACTGTAGACAGATTCTTAATCGACAGTCTGGATGCCAGCTTCGGATCCAGTCCGAAATCTTTTGCAGCAGAGACCAGTTGGTCTTTGGAGGCTTCAGTTTTGAGAAGCTTCTGAACAGTCTGTACATGCTTAACGAGCAGCTGGTACTTGCCTTTAAACTTTGGCTTGTTCTTGTAAGTGGCCAGCCATTCATTGACATGGTCATCTGTGGCTCCTTTTGGACGTGTCCTCTACCATTTTACATTTTTTAAGAAAGCGGGGTGCCCTTCTTTCTGAGTCTGGCTCAGGATCTTCAGTTGCCTTTCTCTTCAAAAGGGACATTGCAATGCCATGCTCAGCCAGTTTGGCTTTGGCTTTGGCAAGCTCTTCAGAGGCATCCGAATTTGTGACAGGCGCCTTGGCCAAAACACAATTCAAAAGTTCTTGAGCAAGCGGTTCCATAAACCGCATTGCTTCCTTGTGTTGGTCCGGCGGTGCGGAGCTGTGGCAAGCTTTTGCTGCCTCATCAATAGAAACACCACTCTCACGAAGCTTCTTCCACAGCGCTGTGATGAGCACCGATTCTTGGCCACTTCGAGCCCAAACGATACTCTGATGCCGTCCTTCCGACAGCAACCGGAACGAGAAATCTCCAAGGCCTCGGTGGGAGAGCTCAAAGGCACGGATGTCACTGACATCACGGCCGGCTAACCCTGCTTTGCGGGACCACTCTGTTGGTTGAACCAACTTGTGCAGCGCATGGGCACCTTTGCCCAAAGGGGTCTTGTCATAGTGCTGCTGATCAGAAACAAAAGAAGACGGCAACGTAAAAGATTGATAAGTGGGGCTGGCTACATGCTCCCACGACTTCTCGGAGTACTTGGAGTCCCATTTGTCTTCTTTGCTCCATCGATTCCATTGTTGTCTGTTGTCCCAGCTGCTGCTGGAATCGCTGGTAGACCATGATGACCAGGAGGCCATGGCGGGATAAGTTGTCCAGGGGAGAACAGTTGCTTGATCAGACTGACGGCTGTTGTGAAACGAAAGGGCATCAGTCCTGTCTGCAACTAGGCGATCAGGCCTTGAACTGAGGAATGATTACTCCGTAGAGCAATTGCGAAATCGAGACCAAGAGGTCTTGATGTTGGTTTAAGCCGATCAGGGCTTGGACCGTTCAGGGTCCTTTGTTTTGACTGGGTCGATCAAGGCCAGGCAGTGGGCTACCCTACCGTAGACGACACGGTCGACGAAAGCCGTCTAGAGCACACTCGTGCAATCCTCCCTCTGGACTGATGGTAACTGTCGGAACTCAGTCTTTCAACATAGAGGTAAAGGATTTTAAGCCACTAGGCAGTAACATCAAACACATTTAACACATTTATTGGGGTTCTAGGCTTAGCCCCGGGCCATCACACTTGCAGAAACACTTGCAGGTACACCAAGCTGATCAGGCTTGGCTTCCCTCTCTGATGCATAGATTCGTTGGGTACGGTAGCATCAGAGAACCGTACCCCCCTGCAAAAGATATATTGCATGTGAGCAAACCTTGGCAAACAGGTGTTCCACACACACAAGGATTAAGGATTTCCAGAAACATTTCAGCTGGACCCCTGCTGGCGGGCCTGAAGGGTTTGTAAAATCCTCCTGTAAGCCCCGAGCCCCCCAACATGATTCAACTTTGGACCAGATCCCGACGACAGTTTGCGGTGCTGACGAGAATCCGGAACCAGTTGGCAGCTGCCTCGCCAGACAAAACAACCTAGTTTCAGTAGCTCAAGGAAGGTTTTCCAGCATTGAGCTAGCAGCTAGCAGTGCTGCTTGTGTTGTACATGATTTCGCATGTTTCTGAAGCCAACACCCCAAGGCGGGTCTGGGGCCGGGTATATGCACCAACAGTGCAATCAAACAGGTGCATCTGCAACAGGGATTTGCGCACGAGGCCGGGCCACTGTACCAAAGGAATCTCGATGGCCCCTATCTTGGCCAAGACCTCACAGGGCACCAAGCTTGAATGTACCGAGCCGAAACCTTTGACTCTGCTCTCCTCCCTCCTTCCGCTTCGCACAGATTTTCGCAAGACGTCACAAGATTTCCGGCCTGCGCCGACGCCTTGCCCACATCCGTCTGCGGGCTGATGAGCGCGGAGGTGGTGGCCTTCTCAGCGAAGGCACGGACGGGCTGTGGAGGGAAAACAAGGGCGGCCTCCTTAACCAAATTCCGGCTTGAGGCCGGCCTCTTCCCGAATCAGAGAAGGTGCGGTTGCGCTGCGCAGTTTCAAGTCCCCCAAACGAGTCCCGAGCAGGTTTGCCCATCTCGCTTTCAGGTCGCGATCTTTCGCGGGATCCTGCGAAGAAGCGCAGGGGCACGGATCTCGAGCGCCGAAGACGCGTGGCCGTGGCCGTAGCTGTTGAGGCGCCTTGGAAGCAAGGGCGTTCTTCAGGAGAAGTCCTGCGCATCCGGATGGCGGGGCTTTGCGGCACAGTTGCGGCAGGACGGTGCTCCTGCAAGCTGCCGAGCAACGACAGGCTTTTCCGTGTTTGCCAGCTCCTGAGAAGCGAAGGCCGTCTATGATATGAGAAAGGACATGCTTGCACCTAATGCACATGCATGTCCTGTGCAAGGGCTGTGAAGTACCTGGACACAATTTGACCAGCACATCGAAATCACGCAGTGCGATATCGCTGAAAGAAAACCGAGCTCGCGGTGTCTTCCCAGTCGCTGCTCTCTCGCTCTCTCTCTCTCTCTCTCTCTCTCTCTCTCTCTCCCTGCTTCCCTCTGGGCTGCATGCTGGTCGACGCTGGCCTGTTCGGCCTGATCACGCTTCACTACAGCGCCACAGTGCAATTGCGGGCTGCACTATTGGCCTGTCGAATCTGCGCTTCTGCTTGGGCATTCTTGGACGGGTCCTTTGTTGACGGGGGATGTGGAAGACCACGATATCCATGCCCAAGGGTGAATGCGAGCAAGCATCCAAAGTCGCCAGCAGCAGCTCGGTGAGACTCCCCATCTGATTGCCTCGAACTCGAAGCTCTGCGAATTCGAAGTGCTGGGTGCTTCTGAAGGCACGGCGCACGCCGGGCGTCCAGGTGCAAGGCGCGGCAGCGTTCTAAGTCTCTGCAGCAGGTATGCTGTACACTCTGGGTTACGGCTGGAGTTGCTGGAGTGTGGCTGAGTGGGGCTCGGGGGTGGGTCGGGTTGGCTGGGTGGGTGCGGGCTGTGGGTGCGGGGTGGGTGTGGGCTGTGGGTGTGGGCTGTGGGTGTGTGTGCGGGTTGCCCCGAGGTTCGAGTCAGGCGGTGGGGTGATTTGTTGGGCTGCCACGGACTAGCGTGCAGGGACAAGCATGAGCCAAAAACTCCCAATGCTGTGAGGCGTACAACAATATGTCCCCAATCACAAGGATCACAAAGTATCAAGACACTCCGGCAGAAGAACCTGCGAAGGTCCTGTTTCCAACGCTTCGTCACGGGCCCCGCAGGATTCAGCGAATCCGCGCGCATCACAGGTCGGACATCACGATCTTCTTCTGGCAGAGTCAGAGACTCAGAGAGAGCTCAGAGAGCAGAGAGCAGCCCTGGCGCGCCTTTCCCGAAGGATACACTTGGACCACCGCTTCGCCTGTGCAGTGCCGCATAGTGCCGCCGGCTCTAATGCGCCGTGGCGGCAAAATTCCCGGCTCCAACCTGCTGGGCGCCCCTCGATGCGACGTCTTCGGCCGGGAGCGGGAGCTGCCAGAGGTGCCACGGAGTGCAAAGAGCCACGCGGCGCAGGAGGTTTGCGGAGCAGCGGCCTTCCTGCTCCGGAGCTGGCCTCAGTGCCCAGCTGCGTGGAGCTAGAAGGGAGGAAGCGAAGAGGGGCGGACAGGTCCGGCCCCGGCTCGCCTGGCAATCTGAGTGACTTTCGGACGCCGGCTCCCCGCCTTCGGCTCTCGCGGCTCGGAGCGCGCCTTCGAGCCGCTTTCTTCGGCGTCGGCGCCGGTGCTCCAGCGGCGGCCCGCCGTTCAAGCTCGGACGGCCTTCCGCCGGAGGAGCTGCAGCCAAGGCTGCCGGGTGCCCGGGCGCACCTGCGACGCGGCCACTTCTCTCGTCTCTGGTCTCCGGATGTCTCCGGCCTCCGCCGCGGAGGTTCCCCGCACCGGCCAGGACCTTGCGCTTCCGCACCCGCCGCCGAGGCCTCGCACTTTGTGCACCCACGCCGTTTGCGGTTCCCAAGCGCCGGGTCTCCGCACCGCTCCGGCGCTGCCCTGACCGGAGAGCCTGCGACAGGAGAAAGAAGAACGTGAGAGGCTCAAGACTCTGCAACGGCGTGCGGTGCCGCGGTGCCTGCACGGGGCACCTCCTCCTCATCCTCGTTCTCGCTGTCTGCTACAAGTCGCTGTTAGCGCACTGCCCACTGTTTCCATACTTTGGACATCCCACCATCCCAAGATGCCTGACCCATCCGAGCTGGACGAAGAGGCCTTTGCTTGGCGGTTTGTTCACAGCACGCTAGTCGCTATAGAGTCTCTGAATTCCCGAGCCGAGATTGAGATGATGCATCGGAGTGTCCCGGAAGCGCGTTTGGTCCAAGGACCCCGCATTTTGTCGGCTGGAGCTCTCGCTCCGGTCTGACCGGAAGCCCGGTGGCCGCATGCCCTGACACAGCACGAGGCCGTGCGTGCTGTGCGTGCTGTGCGTGCTGTGTTCCTGGGCCGCGGGCTGGTAGCAGCGGCATGCCGGGCATGCCGGGCATGCCGGGCATGCCAGGCATACCAGGAAGGCCGGGCGGCGGGCCTCTGCGAAGAGAAGTGCTCAGCTCCGCTGCTCCGCTCTCCGCTGCGTCTGCTCTGGGTCCGCTGCCTCCCATCGGCATCATTCCTGCAGGCCCTGAGGATGAGTGCTGAGATGCTGAGCAGTGGCGGCGCCGCGGTTCGCCGCGGCTCTCAGCTCCCGGCCCATGTGTCCCATCATGGGCGGCATTGGAGGCATCCCCGGGTGCGGCGGCATGCCCGGCCCGAAGCCGGCTGGGCCCATCCCGGGGCCTTGAGATGACGGCCCAGTCGGGAGTCCCATGGCCTCGCGCAAGATGGCACAAACACGCACGGGCCTGCAAGAAAACAGAAAAGGCACCTTCGCTCGTTTCAGTTTTGCCCCGAATCCCTGGCCTGCAAACCCATCTGCATCCCGAGCTGCACACCAACGCCAAGGATTCCTGTGGCATGGGGGCACTCCTGCAAGCGAGCAACGGAGCATGTCTCCGTGCACTGCAGTGTCTTCCGTCTGCACTGCTAGCGTACTTTATAATGGGCTTTGTGCATGGATATGTTCTTTAACCATTGAAAGGCAACCCTTTCGGACAACCCGGGGAATCTTGCGGGCCTTGGTGCGGTGATCGCCACCGCACGTTGCACACACCTGGCAAGAAGACTTGATCACGCCGGTAACTGTTTGTGAAGCTCAAGCGAGCTCTCGGCCCATCTCGCAGGACCGCTCTTCGGCCTGGAGCTCCAGAGTCCACAGAGCACGCTCAACCCGAGAAACGCAGGTCGCTCTTCGGCAGCCGCCGCTCCGCCGCTTCCGCTCTTTGCGCCTGTTCAGCTCTCTGGCCGTCTCCCGGAAGCGGCGGGGCTTGACCTGCACAAGCGCTTCGCTCCAAGATCGCCCCATGAGATGTACGGGCCCCGGCGGCCGGCCTTGACGGCAGGGACCAGCTTCTCCTTGTCCTCCTTCAGGTCCTCCTTCTCTCTCTCTTTCTCCTCCTTCTCCTTCTCCCCTTCGGAGGCCTTTGAAATTGCGTGCTTTTGACAGAGACGGGGGGGCTCAGCCGCGAGGACTCGGGGAGAGCGCGCGCAGCCTTCGCGTCGGCGTTGCCAGGTTTCGCCTCCTCGCTCACGCCCTTCAGCAGCTGGAGGCCGCCCTCGCCGCCTGCGCGCTGCACACAAGAAGGCCACTTAGGCGCGGCCTGTCGTGCAAAGTTGCGCGCGCTTTTGGCTCCGTGCCTTTCGCCCAAGAGACTTCATTCAGGATCAGCCTCACTGCCTGAGCCGGAAGCACTCGGCAAAAGCAGGGCAGCAAGGGGCGGGGCAGAGGGCCCAACCTCATCCTGCTGGTCCTGCAGGCACATCGTGTTTGCAGAGAGAAGGCCTGAAGCCTGAATCTGCTCTGGCGCAATCCTTGGTGCCGATGATCTTGATGAGCCTCTCTTTGCTTCCGGCCGCCATCTCGTCCGACTTTTGAACCTGCGACGAAACCCGAAGCGGCTACATGGTTCTTCGGGCATTCGGCATTCCCTTCTGCTTCGCAGCTTCGAGCCTTGATGTCCGCGCCTGACTTCTCCATGACCTGCAGACGCAGCGCCGAGGTTTGTGGTGGTGCGCTCGTTTGCGTTATATGCCGGTGCAGATCCAGAACCACCTCCCGCACAGTCTCGCCACCGCGTCCGATGACCTGACACCGAAGATCCCCCAGCTGCCAGCTAACTCCCCCTACAAAGATACGATGAGCGAGTTCACACGCTTCGGCTCGACCTCTGAGAGCCCCGGAACGTCCGACCCTCAACCATTGGGCTTTCGACCCTCAGCAAGCTCGGCCCCTGTTCACCCTGAAGCATGAAATTCAAACCCAACATAGACGGTGCACGCCGAAACTTGGCTCAGAGACTCTGATGCCTCAAATGAGCGTGCTCGAAAGGTAAAACTTCAGAATGCCGAGAACTCTCCAAGTAACACGACAGCCAGTGCGACGTCGGCCTATACTCTGTGCACATGTCGCGTATCAGGCTCAGGTCCTTGCTCTTCCCGCTTCCCGATCCTTCACCCACAGCCTGGGACAAAGGAATAGCAGCAAAGCGCGAGTCGCAGTGTTCTCGAAGTGCCGGACTGGACCGGAGCTGGGAGCTCCGGTTCGTCCCCACTCCGCTGCCTAAGGGGGAGGGAAGCGGAGAGGGAGAGAGCATGAGCGAGCGAGAGCGCAAGCTGAGCCACCCCTCCGCACAACAATCCGTAGGTTTCGAGGCCCGAACTTTGGCCGTGGCTCATCCTTCAGGACCTCGAAAGACACGCAACACACATGTTCTGTGAGGGCCGAAAACACGTGTGATGTGGGGCTCCCGCAACAGCGCATGTTCTGGTCTCAACGGGTGAAACGATGGAGCAGCGGAGCTGCATGAAGTCGCAAGAACAAACCAGAATCGTCGTACTGCAATACGAAAGTATGTCAGCAGATCCCCAAGCACCGCGATGACTGCGACGACTGGGACCGCCATGACCACCACGACCAGCAGGAGGGCGAAGGAGACCACCAACAGAGACCATCAAAAGACCGCCAGAGACCGCTAGGTGACGACCAGAGATCAGGAGACCATCAGGATGCCACGGCCAGACTGTCGCCTTCCGCCCCACCTGAGCAGATTCAGGAGCATGGCATATGCCAGGCCAGCAGAAGGTGGCCCTTGCATGAAGTTTGCAATGGAGCTGGCTTTCCGGTGGATGCGGTCGCAGCGATCCTGCATTAATAATGATATAGGACGTGATCCTCCTACCCCGAAGCGAATCCGTGGGAGCCACGCTAGGACACCCCAGCCCATGCACCATGCACCTGTTTGGGGGAAGTTGCGCTGCCTCTCCTTGCGTAAGGTTGCGGCCGTCCCGTCCTCGGACTGGGCCCAGTGGACTTCGGCCAAGAGCAGCTCCACGGCCTTCTCCTCAAAATGCGCCAAGGGGAGGCATGCAGGGGGAGTATCGGGCCCACCGCATTCGGCGCCTGCTCCTGAGCGCTGCCGAAGATCTCCACCTTCCCCTGGGCCTGCAGATTTCGATCAGAGGGCACGGGGACGGTGGAGAAAGACGCTGCCGCGCCGTCACGAGGTGTGCAAGAACTTTGGGCCTTGTCCAGCTCTACTTTGGCCCCAGACTCCTCATGCCGAGGCCGAAGCATTGAACAGTCTCCGTCTCCGACGCTTTCCTATTGCTGCATGGGGCCCGGCCTTTTCGATTATTCGGACCGTCTCGCCTTTCCTTTCAGGTGAGGCTCAACATTCGATCACTATGAGTTACTGATGCTTCGCCTGCCGAGCACTTTGCCAACTTCCTCAGCCAGCACCTGGAAATTTCCAAGCCCGTCTTCCCCACCCGACGCCCGATCCGTTCCGCCATCTCGGCCAGCTCGGGCTCAGGCCGTCAGGATGCGATGGCTCCCCTTCGTGCCCTCAGCCCATGCTGCACGCGAAGACGCGTCTACCGTCGTCTACCGGTCCAGCACCTCGTCTTCGCGGAGGGGCGCCGTTCTGGAGTCCTGCGCGAATCTCCGAAGATCGTCGGTCGCAGTACCGGAGCCCAGGAGCCCAGGCACCCTTGGGGGCCTTAAGAACCCGGCCACCGTCTTGGCGGCCTGGGCGGTTCTACGGCTTTGATGGGTGCTTGGATGCAGTGGTCCGTTTCTCTCTCGAGCATCGCGCAGTACAGCACCACGTCCAATATGTAGTCCACAGCCTGGGAAAAGGCACTAAGCGTTAGACTCCAAGTCTTGTTCATCCCGCTTCTGGGGCCCTCGGCCGTGTCCTGGCCGTGGCGAGATCCAAGGATGTCAACGGACCGCTCCTGGCTCCAAGAGCAGAGCTGAGCAGCTGAGCAGAGCACTGGCACCTCAGACTCAGACGACTCAGACGACTCAGACTCTCTCTCTCTCTCTCTCTCTCTCTCTTAAGACTTAAGTTCTTGCGACGAACACAGCAAATGTCTCGGCCTTGGTATCTGGATTCATGTCCTCTTCTCTGGACACTTTGATCCTGGTGCGAGTCCTGCGTTCAGCCAAGCAAGCAAGCCATCCACCGTTTGGCAGAAAGTGTGCAACCAGCTTCGAACGCTTTTCGGGTCCTGTTCTCGATCTCCCGGAGGGCGCGCCCTCCTCTGCCGATGACTTTGGCGGCATCGCTGTGGAGGATCCAGACCCGCGCCTCGGTCTCCTCCTGCGAGAGAAGAGAAGAGAAAGGAACAACGTCTACTTTATGCTGTTCGAAGCATTTCGAAACTTAGGAGATCTTAGGTGCGACGGTGTTTTAATGGTCCTCAGAGTCATGTCGACGTCCCAGCGGTATGGCCTACCCGACCGCACGGAGACGCTTCAGCCCAGCAGACAGCTGCTGCTGAGAAAGCTAGACTTACACTTGGATTGCGACGTTCACCCCTGTGTTCGGAGGCGACCTGCACACAAGAGCACTCTGCTGTCACATCACGCGCCCGTGCCGAAATCAAGTCCAACACAACGCCGCGGCCTAGCGCGGCTGTCGAAATCTGCCTTAGCACTAAGGGTACGAAGGTTCCCAACGCTGCTACACTGCTGAAAAGCTTCCTGCCTGAGAGTCAAAGCTATCATCTCGAAAGGCATCACGTCGGTGGCGGCCCTCTGTGCAGAAAGGGCTTGCTGGGACTGGGACAGGATGAACCCGCGAGTGTTACGGGTGTCGGCGGTGTCGGCACGTTCCTGCCTGGCCGTGGCCTCGCCGCCTCCGCCTCCGAGCTGGGGGGGACCTGCAGAAAAAGCCCCTAAGCCCCGTCCTTCCCCACGCGCACAAGCACAGGCGCAAAGCCCTGCACGCGTGTGCCCAACACTGCCTGTACACCGGCGACATCGACGGAGGCCGCCTTCTGAGCCGGGCTCGGGTCCGTCCTTCCGGAAGATAAAACAAAGCAGAAAATGGTTCGGAAAGTTGGGTGAGGTTCCGGGTTCCTTCATCTTCCGGATACCTCCTGCTCCGCGACCGGCGCATGCCCAGGGCTCGGAAACTATCCAAAGAGGCCAAACTCATCGATGGGTGCAGATGACCTTTGTCAACTTGCGTGCCAGCGATTTTATTGTTGGGAGTTTCAGGAATGGCTTCTATCCTCCACAGAGTCCTAAAGTTCGAGATGAATGCCACCCGCGAGCAATGAACAAACAGGCAACACAGCAAAAACTGCTCAGCGCGACATGCGTGCCGAATGTCATTGGCCTGTCTGTCGTGTGGTCCCAGAACTGTTAAAAATATAAAAGATATCTGAAACGGTATTCCGTTGGAATCTCAATCGGAATATGTATCAGAAATGAAAAGGGGACTCGATAGAAAACTCAATCGGAATATATTGTAAATCATATTTCCGTAACTCGCTCACCAATGGATCGCACTTGTTTTCACACCTCCCTCGCACTGCTCGGATCTTGGACGTCGGGGGTAAATCGATGGATGGCAGAGGAAACACTCTCCGACTCATCCACACCCGAAGGCATCACTCCTTTCTCCCCCAGGGTAGGGCGGGTGGGCAAAATTCAAAATGCCAAACTTCGGATGTGATCGCTTCTCACTCTTCCATGTAATGTAATGTAAAAAGAGTGCAAAGCGTGTAAATCGAAAAAGGTCGAAACACAAATGAAATATTTCAAATTGTGTGACGACAAATTGAGATATATTTGCTCGAGCTAACGCGAGGTGAAACATTCAGTTCTGGGTTCGCTTCGTGCCTACGCCCCACACAACAGACGGAAGCATCCGCTCGCAGACACTAAACGTAAGTCGTGTGGTCCCAGAACTGTTAAAAATATAAAAGATATCTGAAACGGTATTCCGTTGGAATCTCAATCGGAATATGTATCAGAAATGAAAAGGGGACTCGATAGAAAACTCAATCGGAATATATTGTAAATCATATTTCCGTAACTCGCTCACCAATGGATCGCACTTGTTTTCACACCTCCCTCGCACTGCTCGGATCTTGGACGTCGGGGGTAAATCGATGGATGGCAGAGGAAACACTCTCCGACTCATCCACACCCGAAGAAGGCATCACTCCTTTCTCCCCCGTCACATGTGATGCTGAGCATACACCTTCAACAGATCATCGAGCGCAGCAAAGGAGAAACAAGGGTCCTTGATGAATCGCGAGAGCTCATCAGGGAACGCCACACTTCCCTGGTCGACCGCGCTGAAGGCGTCGCAAAGCTTCTTCGATTCGCCCCTGGAGGGCAAATCTGCCGGATTGGATTTCGATGGCACTCTATCGTACCAAGCCCCAAAAGGAGACACTGCATCCATCGCATTGACCACAGCCATAATCCTGAACATGGCCTCCGACTGACTCGATCTCTTGATGAGCGTGGCCACGGCGGAGTTATTGTCCACGAAGACAAACCCCTTTCGGGCACGTAGTCGTTTTCCGAACTTCCATTTGGCGCACAAGACAGCGAAGAGTTCAATCTCACATATGATCTGCTCCCCAACAGTCAAAAGCCAGTGCTTCCGTATTTCCTCAGGAATTCGTCCAGACAAAACGAACTTCTCCTGTGTCTCAAGGTCGCACAAGAAGACTCCCCATAAGGCTTGGTCCCCTTCAAGAGATCCGTCGGTATACACGATCACCGGCTTACGAGGGTCGGTTACTTGCAAAGTTCTGGGCCTCATCGCACTGAAGACAGAGCAAAGCATGTCGTTGAGCCGGACAATGGCCTCTGAAGAAAACGTGGCTGGCCTAGTAGCCAACTTCGAGTACTCCCTCGCAATGGGCTTCAAAGCCGAGCCCAGAACAAAGCCGCTTGCAAAATTCAGCAGTCCGTGCAGAGAGGTGGCGAGCTGCTTAATGTTGGCATCCGGCAAGGTCAATTGTAGTGATATTGACTTGATTCGCTCAACCCTGCCCTCCTTGTTTCGAACTTCGAGAGAACCTTCGTGGAGACGGGAAAAATCGAACTCCGCCCCCAGAGCAACCCAGCGGCTTGCGAAGTCAACAGCCTTCTTCCCTGTGGTGGCGTGGGCCCAACCCAAAGCGTTGAGCAGTCTGGAGAACGAATCCGATGCGTTGGCAGCCAACGGCACGATCTCAAAGGTCGGATAATCATCCACATAGACCGACGTGATGAGACCCAGCTTCACCACCGCGAGATGCCATAGCGCACGAGAAATCTTGTTGAAGGAGAAAACCGATCCTGACCCACCGAATGGCAATCCTCGGGCCAGGTAGAAGATCCATCTTGATTCTCGTGACGGCATAGCAATGACAGCGTATCTCAGCGAACCCGTGGCCACCGGCACCTGTTTGTAAGCTTTCGAGAGATCAAGACATCTCCCGACCCATCGTGCATCTCTGCTCTGTGGATGCCACTCACCTTCGAGGATATCACCTGACTGAAGGGGAACACGCACCTTCTTCTTGTTGGTCCAGACTCTTGAAACAAAGAGGGCCAATGCAGCAACGAAGTCCACATCATGAAGTTGTAACAAAGAAGTAGACCCGAAGGAAGCGTTGATGCCAGAGTCTCTCAAGTTGTCGATAACCCGTGGTTTTCTTGCCTCTCCTTGAAGCAACAGAAATCTTTGGCTTGGCGACCACTGGTTGGTGCCCAGCCTCTCGGTCACCTTCTCCTCGCAATCAAAAGGCCCTTCGAGAAAACCAAGTCGGCATTCCTCGTCCGTCTCGTCATTCAAGATGGTCAGCTCCTCCTGGGACAGCTTCTGTGGCGGCTTCGAGAGAAGTTCACGGCGCCTCCACACGGCCTGGGAATCAAGCTGTTCGGGAGTGGCTCGCATAGGCTTGGGCCTGGTGGGAAACAAGGGCGAGGAAGTCTCAGCCCCCACCAGCGACACTCCCTCCTCCATGAAGCGGCAGACCTCCTTGTCCGAGAAACCAGTCTCCTCGACCAACTCTCTGAAGAGCTCCAAACACTTGTCACCCGTGATGGGGTGGTCTCCACTTGTCCCGAGCGCCTTGGCCCTGGCCTCAATGTTCAAGAGAGTCTCATGCCTCATCCTCGATATCTCTTCCGGGCCCTTGGTGGCCAGATCGAATAGTGCCCTTCTCACGCAATCTGGAACGGTACCTGCCGCCTCAGCAGGATGCTCCAGTTTGGTTGCCAGATCAAAGTGTTCCTGCATCGTGTGATAAACTCCCCACGCCTTCTTAGAGCTCGGAGAGAAGACTGGTCCTCCAACCTCGTCATCCCCCGCCAAATTGGAGGGGCAGTCTGAAGAGTCAGGCCAAGAAAATTGCAAGTCGCGAAGAAGAGCAATGTCCCGGGTCGGAAGACTCCGCCAGTCGCGAACAGTGAAAGCCACAAGGACCGTTCGGCGACCCTTGGCAGGCAAAACCTTATGCGGCAGACGGGTCTGGAGAAAGCAGGGCTCCGCATGAACCGGCAAAGTTTGACCCTGCACACGCACTCCACCATCGGAGAAGCTGGAGAGCGGAATGATGACATTGCAGAAGGAATGGTCATTGTGAGAATCAACATGCTCAGGGCTGTAGAACTCATCGAAGACGGCCAAGGACGAATAAACCGAACCCGGGGCGAAGTGCTGAGCGATGGCCGCGAGGAGGCGACATACATGCTGCATGGACCGGGTCACGCCGTGCAGCCCGACCTCGGCAGAGAACACGTAAGCACCACACGTCCAAGCAAGGCCATCAGCGGCCGCTCCACGGCGGGAGCGCTGAGACGGCTCCAAAAGGCTGACAAGCTGCAAAACATCGGCCTGAGTACAAGTCTCCTGCTGGAGCAAAGACCAGGCGAGCTTCTCGGCAGCATGCGCAACAAGAGGAACGTCAGAGTCAGAAGGAGCAAGGCCGGTAGGTACAGGCCAAGAAGGCCGCGCAGAAGTGGCTTTATCCCTGGGGGGTGGCATGTCGGGCAGGGGCTTAGCATCGGGATTGGGGGGCCGGTCGGCCCAAACAATCTGGCGGAACTCAGGGATTAAGGCAATAGGGGTCTGGGAGCCGGAGCAGCAAGCGTGTCGAGTCTGAACTGCCGAGTGGTCTCACGAAACAAGGCGGGGCTCACAGCGACAGAGGCCGCTTGTACAAGCTTCCGGCAAAAGAGACGAGGATATTGGGCCTCGGACGACGTGTCGAAGACCCATGTGCCCATACGCATCGTCTGCCCATAAGGAGCATGGGCATGTTTGTTGTCGCAAGGAACGGCTAGGTCTGTAAAGACCTGTGGTGTGCAGCGAAGGCGTGTGTCCTTGCGGCGTGTGCCGCCGAACATACAGAGGGACAATGCCACGTCCTGAAGCCCGAAATACCAATCGGCAAAGGCGGGACAGGAGTTATCTCGCGCAAACTGGCATACCAAAGCAGCGAGCGCGGCCCACGTCCAGGCCCTGGCAGGGTTCTCGATTGTAACGAGAGCCTGAACCTTCCAGGCAGCAAACAAGGCACGAACACACGTGCTGTAGACAGCGTTGGCAGCCTCGACCCGCAGGCGTTCGTGGGGCTTAAGATCAGGCAAACCCAGCGGAAACTTAGCAGAGCGGAGCGGCCGGGGCTGGGGCACGCCTTGCTTTCGCAATGCAGAACTGATGGGCAGCTGACGAGCACGACTTCCGGTGCCACACGGAAGACCAAAATGGAGCCACAAGGGACGGAGCTGATGAATCATGTCATCAATCAGGCGGTGCGAAGAAAGTGAGCCCAAATCGATGGGCAAACAGGATACTTTGGGCTCAAAACGGTTTGCATAATGATCAACTGGAAAAACCTGCCACCCTTGGGAGGCGGCAGCATGCGAAAGAGAGGCCGAGCCACAGCAGAGCTCGACGAAAATTGCAAAAGGAGCAGCGTCAGTGGTAGGCAGGCCTAAGCCGCCTACTCACGAGTGGCGGCACTCGCAGTAAGGCACCCCTTTCTTGAAGCAATCCTTATGCCAGCAGTTGCACAAGCCTCGATCGCATCTGGACTGATCAGGGCACTTGCCGTGCTGAAACAGCACGCACAGAAACTGGCGCGTCTTCGGCATGCGCGACACACAATCTTTAGGCATCTCCTTCAGCAACTGAAGGATCTCAGCACGTTTAGGGTCCACCGATGCATCATCCCACTTGCGCTTCAGACCGCCTTTGCCATCGCGACCTTTGCCACGACCACCACGGCCTTTACCTTCACGCTCTCCTTTGCCATCAGCCTTGCCGCCACGATCACCTTTCTCGCCTTTTCCTCCACCGGAAGCCTGCGGGAGATTAGCCAGGCAAACATTGACACGAGTATGAGTCTGCAGGCGCTCGAGGAACACATCCAGCGGGGGCTTGACACCGCCAACGACCTTCATGGAGCCACGACTTTCCTGAGCAAGAATCTGCCACAGCTCACGGTCGGCGTTCAGAGCCTGAGCAATGCTGGTGAACTTATGGCCTGGAGGAGGGTCGCGAGTCACAGCGTCGAACAAGTAGGTGTGCCACGCCTCCTGGGCCGCAAAGGACATGAGACCGATCTGGTCAAAGGCCAAGGCTCGTCGAGTGAAAGCCTCCCGGAGCCGAAGTTCTCCTCGAACATCGCATTCTAGGTCGGCATGCTTCTTGGATATCTTCAAGCCCCCTTGAGCATCAAGCGTGACTTGTTGGGCGGGCTTGTCACTGGAGATTTCCAAAGCTCTGGATGGGCACTTGTGCGGTGGCAAGTACGTAAGCGTCCCGGAGTCGACCATGGACTGGATCTTGTCAATGAGACCATGCGCCGGTTCAACGCGCTCAGTGAACACGATGCCAGATAGCCGGGCCTTCTGATTCTGCAAGCGAGTCAGGCGCTCAGCCAATGGAAGCTCCCGGGGAGGATCAAGAGAATCAAGAGACGATCGCTCGACCCTCGACTTGAGATCAGACAAAGCAAAAGTGTTAGCCTCGAACCATAGCCGACGAAGATCCGGTAGCTCGACCGGGGTGAGCTCGCGGGACAGGATCTTCTCCACAGCCTTGATAAGTGGAGTGTCATCACCGCTCTGCGGGCTGACAGCACAGATGTACGCCAGCTTTCCAAAGGTTTTGATCCCTGCAGCTTGAAGCATCTTCACAAAGCCGTCGTCCATGCCGATTTCCCTGGCTCTGGCCAAGAACTCAGCTTCTGACTCAAGCAGGGTGGAAGTCATGGCTCCGAAGATCAGGCTTGAACAAGAAACACGTGACTCCAGGCGAAGGCTCACGACGGGGGCGGCAGGCATTGCTGTAACACAGATGCACAGCATCGATGTTTGCGTCTCTGCTCGACCTTTCCATATCTAATCTCCCGTGACTCGCGCCAGTCTGCACTGTTCGCAGAAGATATCATCGCGCGGCTGCCGGGGGTCAAAATTGCACGCATCATAGTTGCTGTTCAAGGGTCTCCCGCATCTACCGAAACAGCGTGCACAATGGAGGAGATCCGGTGCCGGACGAAGGTGCCCGTCTCTGGCGGCTCAGGGTGGTCGCTCATCCCTGGCACCAGGCTGGGGCGCGCATCGATGCCGACGTGGTCTTCAAATGACACATCAGATTGTTCAGAAGCGTCAAACCTCTTCAGGTCTTCGACCCGGCGATCCTCATCATGGAGGCGCTCCACTATGTTTGCCATCCTCTCAGACCTGGACAAGTCTGGATCAAACCTGTCCGTGCGAATCAGGTCGACTAGGTGCTGGAGCTTCGACAAGACTGGGGCCATCACGTCGCGCCCGTAGGTGATGATCATCCTCTCGTCGGGAGCCGAATGGTGCCCCAAGATGCGCTTCTCATGCTTGTCGAAACGACCGCTCTTGGTAGCCCACGACAAAGGAGTGGATTTCAAAGCATGAGTCGTAATCAGCATTGGCTGAAACGATCTCCTGAAGCCAGGCGCAGCCTTCCGCTGAGGTCATCGGGCGGTCCAGCCAGATCTCAGCTTGTTCTGACCATGCCGGCATGATGATACTCTTCGTGTCCGCACCGGACCGGGTTCTAGCCGACATCCATGCTGAAGCCCAGGGCTCCTCTGAGAAGGTATGCCCGAGAGCTATGAGCGGCATGAAAGTGGCCCTGTCATCCGCAAGCTTGGCCGTTTTGTGCCCCAACATAACTGCCTCCACTAGACACATAGCCCCATGGTTCTCAATGGTAAGGTCGGTGGCCTTGGCCGCATCAGACCATCTGGCAACCGAGAACAAGCAGAACAATGCGAATCCCGCGATGGTCGCATGCAAGTCGGACCCTTCAAAGACCACAACCTCTAGCTTCATGACGATGGGAACCTTCAGAGGAGGCGCCTGCTTCAAGGGAGCCTTCTTGAGATAACATGAGTGCACTGCACTTTTTGCTGTAGAAAAACTCAAAACCCAAATTCAAGCGAATATAAGTTGCACTCACTCCGTAAGTATAAAAGTCAATCAACTCATATCGTATCGCATCACTCGGACCCTTCTTTTCTTTCAGGGGGCGCACCGGGTTGCCCGGCCTTAGGCCGCGGGCTAGGCGCACTGCCAACATGCCGTTCGCATGTTGGGCCAACGTAGAGCACAGCCTACGGAGTGGTGTACAACTGGAGTCGCAAGATCGGCCCCAAGCCGATCTGAAGTCTCGACGGGTGTGGTGGGAGGGTAGTCGAGACCCATCTCCCACTCTTGAGCAGCAATGTAACACGACGTGGACATTTCACATGCCCTTCAAGGAAAAATCTTCTCTCAAGAAATCACTGCTCGAAAATACATTGCTTAAAGTGGGAGAGGCAGCACACGGGTTAGGGCATTAAGGTTTTTGAGTTTTCTTCGCTCGCCGCCACGGCGGCTCGTCACGAACGCAAAAAGGTACTAGCTGTCGTCGCAGGCTAGACAGCAAAGGTACTTTTTGCTGTAGAAAAACTCAAAACCCAAATTCAAGCGAATATAAGTTGCACTCACTCCGTAAGTATAAAAGTCAATCAACTCATATCGTATCGCATCACTCGGACCCTTCTTTTCTTTCAGGGGGCGCACCGGGTTGCCCGGCCTCCCCAGAAAGTAGCAACACGGTACGTTCCCACTCAAGACCAGAGATTACAAGTCGACCAGCGGGATGCCCGAGATGGGGCATGAGCACTTAACTCGTAATGCACCCGAATCAACAAGTGCTCTGAACTCACCGCGTGACGGGTCGTCTGAAGGATTGGATGCGGAAGGGACCCTTGTCCAGTATGTCCACGATGGACCATGTTTCTCACAGCATTCCCATGTGAGAAGCAGCTCTCGAAAGTGATCACTGTTGGACGTTCCTCGCACAAAGCTGAGAAGGACAGCGTCGTTGTCAACGAAGAAAAGGCAATACTGTCCAGACATGTACTGGTGGAAAGCCTTGCGTGCCAAGGCGACAGCGTACGCCTCAACGGGTCCGATAATATGCTTCAGATGCTGCCTCCATCGGTCTGCCAAGGCACAAAGAACTTCGCAAGAAAAGAATCGGGGCCGCGCATCAGAAGGAGAGTAAAGAATACCTCCAACGGTGTTGCCAGACTGTTCGCTTGCTCCGTCCGTGAAGATCAAAACAGGCTTAGGGGCAACCACACAAGGGACTACCCTAGGGGAACCGAAAGACAGGCGATCAATGAGAAACTCGAAAGCCTCGATCTCGCGGGGACCCAGGACAAACCGGGAGGCGTGGCGTGTGGAAGCGGCTCTCAGCTCCGCCAATGCGAGCTTTCCGGTTCTCCCCATGACTTGCGCATCGGAGAACTGGACACGACCTGCAACCCTGGCAAAAGTACGCATCTTGATGCAACCTTCACTGATGCATTCACGGATGGCATCACACACCTCACTGGATCGGCCTTCCTTGTTCCTAATCCGAATGACACTTTCCCTGGCTCCTTTCAAGTCAATCTCGACCCCGAGCATGGAGGCGACGTCTGCAAATGGGTTCAGTTTGTCAAGGGATGCGGAAAAACCAAGCACTGAGGACAACACAAGCAAGGTGTCCATGGTGGAACCTGAAAGACAGCACGGGCTCATCACTGGATAATCGTCAACGAAGTTGGCCCAGAACAGGAAGACTTCCAAACCTATCCGCCACAGCAACCTAGACAACCTGTTGAAGTGGAGCACGGACGATGTGCTTCCAAAAGGCAGAGCCTTACCCTCAAACAATCCCAAGTCGCCATTATCCGGATTGAGAAGGGCAACGACGGAGAAGGCACGATGGCCCGGGTTCAACGCAAATTGGCGATAAGCATTCTTCAAATCAAAGGTGCACAGCTCAGGACACCACGACGAACCCGCCCAAGCAGGGTGCACTCGACCAACCAACGGTGGTCCGCTAGCCATGTCCAGAAAGAATTGATGCTCCGTCGTGTGAGCTCGGATCCAAAAGCGACATATTGCAATGATCTCGTCAAGTGCCCTTAGATCTAGCTTATCCCCATAAGAAAAAGAACCATTAACTAAGTTCTCGGAGTAGTCGTCAATCGGTCTCAACTTGCGCTTGCCTCCAGAAGATTGAATCACGGCGAACCGGCGCACAGGGGCCCATGCGTCGCCGTACCTTCTCGTCAGCTCTTCTTCGGTAAGTGGTCCCTCCAAGAACCCTTCGGCAACCTCAGTCAAAGTCTTATCCCACAGTTCCGAAGAATGCTCATTCAAACCCTCGGACAAAACCTTACCCAAAAGCGCCGGACGGATGTACTTACAGGCCTTAGTAAACTCGTCAGCCGTCCTTTCCTGGGGACGAGGCTCCTTTCTAAAGACACCAGTGGGCTTCTGCCAACCAACCAAACCAAAACCCTTACAAGTATCATCAAACCATCCATCGTCGGGCCACTTCAAGTCATCAGCAATGCGTTTGAGCAAGAGAAGCCTCTTTGATCCTAACACAGACCTCACACCAGGTTCGAGGCCCTCCTTAAGTCGGGACTCTGGTTCCTCCAATTCCCTGGCCCATTCTAACCACTTGTTGAGAGTGGCCACACGTTGCCTACCAACCCACTCAGGGCCCTTCACCAAGGCCTCATGAAGCTTTCGTTTAACTTCGTCGGGGATGACAGCAAACGTCTCGAAGGGATGCCGTAATCCTTTGGCCTCCTCCAGAAACTCATCCGGTGTTGCATACACACCAACACTAAGTTCGAAGCCACCCGACTCCCCCGTCTCCTCAGTGGCGAGAAGCTTGGAGCCTGCGGGGATGTCACCGATGGCGTGCTGCAAGCAATTTTTATGATCCACAGGCGGAGTCTGTGGCACACGACATCTGCAAACGCGACCAAATTCTCTGATGAGGCTCGCACCAAGTTTACCCCGACGCTGCTGTGTGACAGGCGGAGGGCTGGACTGCAGCGGAGACAAAAGGGGGTCAAAGCCACAGTGTTTGGCCACGGCGTGGGCAACCTGCTGACAGAAAAGCCTGGGATGAGTATCAACACCGCCAGTCACAGGCGTGTGACTGTGATTACCATGGCACACTTGTTGTAAACACTTGAGTGCACTACAAGACGTTAGCAGTTGCCTCCGCAAGCGATGCGGAGAATCAAAGGCACACAAATCGTACACCACGGTAGTGGTGTTGGTGAGCTGGCGCACAGCAGGCACATGCCACAGGAAGCTGGACTGCGGATGTTCAATGGACCAGGCGATGCCCACTTGTTGAACTCGTTTTAAGAAGGTGATGACATGTTCCAACAAGGAGTCGGCCAATGCGAGCCTTTGAACCTGAGAGGCGTCGGCGCCTCCTACAGGAACTACAGATCCATGGGACAGTCGTCGGAGGCCCTGCTTAGGTCCATAGGTGGCATACGGCAGATCAATGTGCACGTACCGAACATGATAGTTGTCAAGCACATGCGAAAGATACTGCCACGAGCTCGGCAAGGCAAGATCCAGTGAGCACAACTTGGCCAACGGAAGCCGGTGACTTCCCCTATCTATGGGCATGACCTCAAAGCCAATCTGATGAAAGGCTCGGGACAAAGAGCCTGCACGGGCAAACAGCTCGAGCACAATACCAGGCTGGTCAACCGGCTTGGCCTGAACCTGACCAGTAGACACTACGGAATCTTCTACGGGGGCTAAACCCGACTTGGAGGAAGCTAGAGGCGGGGAAGTCACTGGTTGTGCGAGGCCGAGTGGTTTTGGAAACTCATCAGTAGCACACCCCCCGGTAACGACCGGCGCTTCATAGCAAACCGGAGGTGACTGTTCGGCATCAAGAATGTCGGCTTGCATCGGGAGCTGAAATTCCAAATCGGTCAGTGTGGCACTATCAGTCTCACTAAGGTGATCAATGGCGGAGACTGAAAAAGCAACTAACACCACTCTATCACCCGACCAATTTCTAGTGGCGTGAGTCAAACGTCGAGCGGTGAAGACGGCATGACTCCCAGTCAAGCTGAGTTCGACTCCACTGCGTAGTTCGCCATCAACATCGCACCAAGCTTGGCCGCCTGGCCTCTCAACCCACACCTGTCCCTGATCGAAGTCAGACAGTGCACACACAGCATTGGGCAAAGAAGAATTATGCGCATCCACATGAGGTGTGGTTTGAACGTTGCGAAAGAATGCTAAGCTCGTGAACTTTAAGTTGGGCAGCTGCTGTCGCACAAAGCGCGCGGCCAACTTTGTCACATTCGGGAAGAGCAAGACATTACGTCGCAGCCCAACCTTGACTCTGCAATAGGCACCTGTCGAGAAAGAGACCCCTTGTGATGGGTCACCTCGGACGGAAGCCTCAGTGGGGAGTGATTGGAAGATCCCAAGTAAATCAGTGGGGGAAACAACACCAGCATTGTTCAGCAGGGTCAGAGCTCGATCCTCGACCGAACCCTTGAATTCGTGATCAAGACTTGCGCTACTGATCGACTCAATTTCATCGATGGCCTTGACCTCATCACAGCCTGAAGATTGGTTTGAAGTGAAACGCGTGCAATCTTGGGAGCAGGAGCCTGGGCCCCTAGTCACTCGGTATTGCGCTTTGGGCAGTTGGGGTAGAAGTGCCCGGGCTGGTAACAAAAGCAGCAAACGTGAGCACCCCTGAAGCACTTGTTGCCTGTCAATTGCCTAGTGCATTTGCCCCTCTGAGCATCAAAGCAAATGGGCACTCCTTTCGGGGTGTTTGCGTGCCCGTCCTTTAGGTCCTCTGGCATGGTCACCTCGCGGCGCGACGGTTGCTTACCCTTACCAGAACCTTTGCCCCGACCTTTGCCACGGCCATACGGAGTGGGTCTTTCAAAGGGAATCTTAGCGGGAGGAGGCGACGCGAGAGGAGCGAGCAAATGAGACACCTCGGTCAAATCGGCGCAACGCATCCACGCCCCGTCCAATGGACGACCGGTCTCCGTGACTTGCACTCCACTGCGACACTCATTAGCAGCGGTGACAAACAATTGCTTATCGGCTTGAAGCAGCTGCTGTATGCTGACTCGGGTGTATCCCGAAGGCACCTCACGATATCTGGAGTGCAACAGGCGCTCAGCCCATTTCTCATGTTCTTTGAAACCTAACAATCCGGCCTGTTCCATCGCGAGTCCTCGCCGAGTGAGGGCGAATTTAAGTAACAAGTCAGTGCTCAAGTCGGCCTCACCTCGAATGTCGGCGTTCTTGATGTGGACATTACCGCTATTGTCAACTGTGAGGGTACGATCCTCCTTGTCCCGGGAATTCCGAGTCTCATCGTCCTTGCTCATGCACCAACTCAGCGGAAGATATGTAAGGCGATTGTTTTCATACATTTGACAACACTTGTCCACTGACCTGTCACTCGGTTCATTAGGCCCGGCGATAGTCAAGCCTGGATACCGCACAACTTGACGAGCCAGACGATCTGCTCGGTCAGGAGCGGCAAGGCTCCTCGCTGGTGCATCGGTGGTGCGCTCAACCTGAGATTTAAGCTCGGCCGCGACCAAAGCAAAGGCCTCAGAGTGCAATCGGCGCAGCACCGAAAGCTCCCCCACGGTAGCATCCCTCTTCAACAAGTCCTTTATGGAAGTCACAAAAGGACCCTCATCACTCTGACCCGGAATGAAGCTGCTCACATACGCAAATTTGGCAAGAGTGTTGACGCCACCATCGACAAGCAGCTGAAGCACCTCAGCTTTCAAGCCGAGTTTCGCAGCCCGGGAGCTAAAATTGGCCTCACTCTCAGTAATACTCATGGTTCCAGCTTGAGCCGACCTGACTCTCGCGAACCCATGTGGTCCCCATCGTTGTTGATCACAACGATTTGCAAACAACTCTCTACCGACACTCACACATCGCAACTTCGCTCAAGAATTGTTTCGCCTCCACTCGTGTCGAGTCACCTTCAAAATCGCGATGCCACTGACATCCCATCACCGTGACACGCAGGGCCCACGGGCACACCGCACCGATGTGAAGTGTACAATCCTTGGCGCTGGCACGGTACACTGTTGCAACAACATGTGGACAAAACGCACGGGGCCGACACGGCACACCGTGATCACGCCAGGACCGTCCCTTTCACATCATCAATGTTCTGTCGTGGCGGGGTCTCGCTGACGCACCGTTGACCCGACATGTGATACGACTCGGGGCAAAATGCACACCGATGACATTCTGACGCGGGGATAGCACACCGGTCATCGACCTCGGTCGGGGCCGCAACGGCACACCGTCCTCAGTATCCCTCTGTGTCACGCTCGCCAAACACAAATCTCAGCTCTGATCCCCTCTAACCTGCTCTCCAACAGCAGGCTCGACACTGGAATCTGTTTTGACAGAATTGAAGCACCTGGCACACACAGGGTACAGAAACGATGGAACAGCTGCCACCTTCTCGTAGTTCTTCGTGCAGGTCCTGCCGCAAGATAGAGAAGTTCCGCCCTCGTCGGCAATCAAGTGCAGCATGCGTGAAGACCGATTGCGAACCAAGTGCTCTGCCTTCAACTCGCGCTTAGGCACTTCCTCACACCAACCATCCACGACCCCGTCCAGCGCTAGCTCGAGCTCCTGACAATCGGTCTCGGCATCCTCTTCATCAAGAGACGCCTCTGAGGAAGCTTCGTAGTCGTAGCTGGCGTTGGGGTCGTCCTTCGTGGGGAAGTACCCGCTCCGGGTACTGTCCGGAACAAAAGTCCCTGACCTAATGGCCGCGAGGACTTTCTCGAGCACCCTGACCGATGCTGATACGGCATCGCGGCTGTATACTTGGGCGCTGCGGTCGCCCGGAGCCGTGTGATACCCCAACACTCTCTGATCATAGCTGTCGATGCCGAATCTGGCACACCAAGATAGACAAGTCGCTTTACATGAGTGCGTTCCAATAGGGGAACACTGAGCCTCAGAAAATCCGCACTTGCGGAGCACGTTTCTCAACCATCCAGCAGCGACCGAAGCACTCGGAGGGTGACTAGCCCAGTGTCCGGTGGTCAAAATCGCAGGCAGGACGGGCAGCCCCTCTCCAACAGGGACATTCAATTCCTTTCTCAGCATGGACCACGCCTGGAACCAATCTTCGCCAGCGATACCCTTGCGTGGACACACCATCGGCAGCAGCTGAGTTTTCCTCTCAGTGGTGTAAGATGTCTTGCTGCGTGCGATGTCGGCCTGAAGGTAGCCTCCAAGCCCAGACGGGTCGACCTGCGGCTTGTCCTCGCTGACATTGTACATGTTCTGTGTATCAGAATACCTGGCCCTCATAAAAATCGAGAGCAAGAAGAATCCAGCTATGAACCGATCAATGCGATCCCCATCGGGGGAAACTACAAACCTCTCAAGTCGCTGTACCATCTCAGTCGACAACGGTGGGCGCTGGACCCTCTTCCGCTTTGTCAAGTAGCATGCCCTGGCCACACCACTCAATCTCATGCTAGCCATCGCCTCCTGAGCGCTCTCCGCTCCAAGAATGAAGAAACAAAAGGTCACCGCACTCAGGAAGCTTTTGAGGAAACTCGGCGAGCATGTATGTTCGCACTCACAAGCAAACTCGTACATGTCATCCTCCTTGAATGGAAATGCCAAGACTGCATGCCTATCAGCCCATGCCACGTATCGTATGAGCGGATCAGCCCGACTGTGCAGAGTTCCAACTGCCTTACCTGCGAACACATGTCGCAGCGACCTTGACACTTGGACCCCGACAGGTGCTAGTGACGTGACCTTCCGACCCACATCGAAAGACTGAGGGCTCCTGAGTACAAGAGCAGTCCACTTACGAACGGCCGCCACCAGTCTCTTCTCGGTCTGGTTCTCCCAAGAAATATCATGACGTACACGAGAGAATCGATGTGCAAAAGAGACAGCCGGCTGTTTGGGAACCGGAACAGAAATGTTGCTGCTCACAGGAATGAGGGGTAGTGGCCCCCTTCCCAAAGGTACACTGAAATCAAGCAAGCTATTTCGAAATTCCGGTGTCTCCCAAGGCATCCTAAAAGCCGAGCCCTGAGAAGTTCGCAAACATGTGCTGAGATGAGCATCGTAAGCAGAGTCGCTGGCCGTCCTCTGCCTCTTTGCACTTTCTTCGGATGCCATCCTTCAAGTGCTGCAGGCCACCGCTCGCCCCTAAAACTCGGCCCAAGCACTAACGCAATGGTTCTGCCTCGGGCTGCGAATCAAGAGCAGGTTGGGCACAGAAGAAGCTAGCACGGATTTGCCAGCTTGCGCGAAGAATTTGCAGGCGCTCAACAGAGGAAAGGCAGGCCCAAATCAAGCTGGCAATATCTCTCAGCTGAATTGTCCTGGCCAAAGCGGCCTGCATGGCTGGGCCCACCTCTATAGTCGAGACCCATCTCCCACTCTTGAGCAGCAATGTAACACGACGTGGACATTTCACATGCCCTTCAAGGAAAAATCTTCTCTCAAGAAATCACTGCTCGAAAATACATTGCTTAAAGTGGGAGAGGCAGCACACGGGTTAGGGCATTAAGGTTTTTGAGTTTTCTTCGCTCGCCGCCACGGCGGCTCGTCACGAACGCAAAAAGGTACTAGCTGTCGTCGCAGGCTAGACAGCAAAGGTACCTTCAACTCGCTGAGAAATGATGTCAGGGGAAGCATTGCTACCCGTCATGTAGTGGAAGAACCTCCACGACGAAACAAAGGCAGCTGGCGCTGTAGGAGCACAGTCACTGTCTCGAAGATGGCACACATACAGGTACAAGTCACTCTCGGCTGCATTCAACGGCCTTGCTTGATTTTCTTGCGCCTGCCAACGGGAGAACTTCAAGTAGTCGCACGATCTCTTGGAGAGAGTGCTCGTAGATTTCCTGGTGAAAGCGTCCGTGAAAGTCGCAGCCAGCTGATGTTCTGGAACAAGCATCCCGCTGGTCTCCAACAGAGAACGCCCCAACTTGGAATCACTGGGGTCGTACAAGACAATCTCTTTAATTCGAGACAATGCCGCTGAACGGAGCTGGTCCTCCGACCTCGCCATCCTCGTGGCGAATAGCCGTTTGGCTCTGAAGGGGTTTTCTTTGTACCAAGTCGGCTCACTGCTTGATGAAGAAGATACAGCAATCTGAGCAAACATGTCAGATCGTCCAATCGTTGGAAGATGGAGCGGAAGGGCCAAAAGCGGGTGCCCGCCACTCCAGAAAATCGCCTTGCCAAAGCCCGACTCCCATGGGAGCTTGATCGTAGATTTCCTCTTTTCCTCAAAGAGAGCCTGTGCCACAGCCGGATGCACGGGCACCGGATCCTTCCAAGCCGTCCTCCTACTCTTACTCGCACTTGGCTGGCAGGGTTCACTCTGATCATCTGCCCGAGCACCCTGATACCAGAGGGCCTCGTCCGAGGCCACCGGCTCAACATTTGACCATGACTCATCCCTCTCACGATCTCCGCAATTCGACTCAAGACCACCAAAATCTGAGTTCCAAGGCGAACCTATCCGGTCCTTGGGTTCAAAGTCGTCCTGATCGAAACATTCATCGTCATGGCCGCTGCCCTGTGATCCGTCGGGCCTACCAAACATGGCTATAGTTGGACAAAACTGCTAGCCAGACAACAGTTCAATGAAAGCATCAAGCGACATCATCACAGAAAAGACCTCCTTGCACGGCTGAGCACTCAATCGGGCCGCCTTCATTTTAGGTCACGATCTCGCGGAAACCTAAACGGTCCTTCTTGACTCACTCTGTCCCCCGCACACAATCAAGAGGACTCGGCAGAATGAACCAAGAGGGCAGGCCTAAACCAAAGGGAACCGAGGGAGCCGGGAAACAGAGGGCATCCGGCAGCTACGACGTTAGCCTAAAGAACCGAAGCAAACGGTCGTGCAGAACGCGAGCTGTCTGCACCAGCGAACTCCAGTCCTGCATGCTGAGGTACTCCAGAACCCAGGCGAAGCGGTAGCTGGCCGTGAAGGATACCAGGTGGCCTCGCAGAATAGCATTCCAGAAAGGCCGACGGCAAGCAGCAAAGCGGCGCAGTCTGTCACTGTGGAAGAAATAAGGGCGCACTCGCACACTGACAAAAGCAGTCGGAATCCCGGAGCTGTCACTCGGCAAAGAAGAACCCGAAGTGGAAGTCGAAATTGAATCATACGATGATCCCCGAAGGCTGGAATCAGCCCGAGGCCGCGGCACATCCATCGGAGGCTGATCACAAAAGGACCGCGCAGTTCTACACAAAACAGGATACTGCGTGACTGCATGAGCGTGACATGACATGAGTGTGAAAAATCTACCCCGACTCCGCGTCTCAGCCGAAGGCCGGCACGGGCAAGATAGAATTTGCATGCCACAGGGGGGTCGGGCTAGGGGCTGCAAGCAGAACAAGGCATCCGCGCGAGGCTAAGACGACTCTTGTCTGATTGTTTTGCGACTCCCAGGGCCAACTCGATCACCGCTGGGCCAGCGGACATTGGCATTGAGACAAATGCTTGACCTACAATCCCGAAGCAAAAGCCGAACGCAGAAGAGAGCTGACAACCATCCGGGACATCAGCCCACCTTCAGCAAAACAGCCCGCACTCACAAAACGGAAGTCTCTCAGAAGAAGCTCAGATCAGGTGCCACCTCTGCTCAGGCGCGCCACTTCGGCACGAAGACGGTCATGTTCAAGGCGGAGGCAGCCCATAGCATAAGAAAGGTCAGAAAACCTCGATCGCCAACGAGCCTCGCGGTCGAGGAAGCACAGGCTTATGAAGAGGATAGCAGGCTACCATTAGGAAATCGTTGAAATAATATTATTCCGGTTTGAATCCATTTGCAATCCGAAAACAATGAAACGGAAAGTCCGTTCGCAATCCGAAAATATTCCGATAAGAAAAGCAAAAACAATCCGAACATGCCAAAAGCCAGTCTAGCTAGTTTTGGCCCAAACACACCACAAAAAGCAAAAAAAAAGCAAACAAAAAGCAAATCACAAGCAAAACACAGCCAGTTTAGGTAAGCTTCGCAGAAACACACCATAAAAAGCAAAAAACAAATTTCAAGCAACACACAGCCAGTTTAGCTAAGTTTTGCTGAAACACTCCATAAAAAGCAAATCAAAAGCAAATTACAGGCCAAACACAGCCGCTTTAGCAAAGATTAAAACGTAAATAATCAGCAAAACACAGCCAGTCTAGCAAAGTTTAACAGAAACACACTTGAAAAGCGAAAACAAAATGGAAGGCACATAAACCGAAAACGCATGCAACACACGCAAACCCGACACGAAAAAATACATCACCGACGACAAACCAAGAGCGACAGCAATGATTCCCCATTAGCCACAATGAAACCGAATGAAGAACCACAACCAACTCATATAAACAGACCGGCATAAACTTTATCAGAAACAGAGGGTGCGAAGTACCCCTGAATGAGACGAGGGAGATGAAGCATTATATACCTAGGCGAGTGTCTGCATAGAAGCTAGCTTCGACCTTGAAAAGTCATTCCGACTTGGCGGACAAGATCTTGGACTGCAGCGGAGTGGCAGAGAGGGACGGAAACGAGAGACACACGGGCATTGCAGACCCAGAACTAACAGTTTTCCCAGATTAAAATTAAGGCAAAGTAGAGGGCTTAGTGTGGAGGACTGTGCAGGTTTCCGTCACAGGTTAGGGTGGGTTGAGAGATTAGCTCGAACAGCTTATCGGTTTATTGAAAACTAGAGATGATGGCTGATTTCAAAACCGCACACGAGCCTTGCTCTTTGCAAGCCAACGACTCAAGGCATGTTGCTGGCGACGAAATCGCCCCCAAACAGCCGTGTCTAGGAAGATTACAAAATCGCGCAGCGATGCCCCGCCTACAGGGTCAGTGTATATTCGAACTGTATAATCAAAAGCTCGCGCAATCCACACATATAACATGATTATGGCATCGGCAGGGATTGTAGCTTCTGAATTCTGATTTCTCGGATCAAAACGATTGGCATTCGGTTTGAAGCCAATTCAACCCTGGGCGTCCGGAGTTAAGTTGGACATATCAGCTTTGCCTAGACTCTAGACTCGGCCCGAGACCCGACATCCTCAACTTTAAAGTCTGATCTGCACGACATCCCCGGCGAGGCTCGCTCGTAGCTTGCAGGGCCGAAAAAATTAGCGTGGCTTGGGGCTAAGCGGCTAAGAAAGGTTCAGGCTTCAGGTTAGGCGTTTAACCTGTCGACTTGTTTCTTCGGTGTGGGTGGCCTTTGACTGTGCACCTCATGTAGCTACAGTGTAATTGCATGTTGCCACCACACGCTCTGCAGATTCAGATACTGAATGCGCAACTGACTAAGCTCATGTTGCATGGCTGCGGCTTTGGCAACATGCTTGAGCTTGCTGACAGCAAAGTGAGTCTGGTCTAAAGTCTCCAAAAGACAGGTTTCTTTACTTCGCATTGAATGAACGAGATTATGCCTGATGCTGCTTTCGGTTTGGGACCACGACCAGTCGGCCAGGTAACTGGCCTGACACACCTCACGTGAAGCTTGAGTCCATGGGCCTTAAATCCCTCTAATCCCTGAGCCCTAAGCTTTAAGCACCCACCCATCCAGACGATGCGGCTGCTCAAAAGGCTGCCTCTCACCATGGCATCCTATTCCTCCACGGACAGGCGGTTTTGGGCTGTAAAGTTTGGTTTAGGGTTTTAGATGTCTTTAGGTTAGGGTTTTGGGGTTTACGGGTGCAAAGCCGTAGCGAATGACCATCGTTGCTTTATCCTGTGGAATGAACCCAGGCATCGCAGAAATCCCGAAGCAAAGCTGCGGCACCACAGCGAACAAAAGAGAGCATCCAGCGCACGTCCAAGCACATCTCAAGCAAGCCTCTGCCCAACTACAGTAGCAGACAAACGTGGCAGTCACAGAGAGTGAGCCAAATCGTTTTATTCGACATCCGTTCGACGCATCTTCGGTTTTCCGAACATGCCGGGGCTGCGACTTCGGAGAAGTAAGAAAAGTGACGCGAACATGTTTGCACAGGCCAACAAATCATGTAGAATGTAGAACTAGAACCTACTAGGACCTGGAATCTAAAATCTAGAAGGACCCAGCATCTGCATAAAATCTAGAACCCGGAATCGATGCTAAAACGTACGATAAGTACCACTAGAAAACACCAGAAGGGCCTGCGATGTCCGCACTGTTAAAAGACGGTAGCTCTACCTGAGCTGGCTGAGGCTCTGCCACGTGTTTGTCGCAGATCAAAACAGAGCGAGTAGCAGCTAGTAAATAAGTCTTCTTCGTAGGGGGCGAACATGGGCGAAAACAAAACAAAACAGGGCTGTGAGCTCTATCTCGTAGGGACTATGACTACGGACCTACATAAGCCGTACACTGTACACTCTACACCCGTACAGGCCCCGCATGCCATAGGCCATAGGCTCTAGGACTCTAGCGTCTACAACTTTGGGACTCTGGGCCCTAAAGGCTGAAGGACTGAAGGTTGAAGCTTCGTGTTGAAACCATTTCGAATGCCAGCAGCTGGCAGAGCCTCCGGACAGGCTAATGCGGTAATGACGTGGTGTCAGTCGCACAGCAGATCACAATGGGAAAATCTTCGATTCTTTCGATCGAGCTTCGAAGACAATGCACCCGGACTGTCATGCCGAGCCTTGCAGCATCTCTGTTGCATAGGCGTACAAGCCCTGGTGGATGTCCTCCACGCTGATGCCACGAAGCTTTGCGTTCACGTTGGCAAGCTCCTTGCGCAGAAGCTTCGCCCGAATTTCCACATCCTTCTCCAAGCAAGCGGACACGAGCAAACCTTCGGTCTTGAAAATCATAGCTGCCTTTTGCGACTGCTTGCAAGAATGATGCACCAGCTTCAACGTGTCGAGGATGCTGGTGACGGTGTCGGAATCCGGACTTTTCTTGCCCAGGAACTTGGAGTCTTTGTAAAGCTCGGCACTGGAATTCATGACCTGAAACGTGCACTTCTACATGTCCAAATGCTGTGTATTGTTGGACCTTTGTCATTATTACATAAGTGACTAAAGTACGTATAGACTTATGGTGACTTATGGACCAAGACCTAGACCTGGACCTAGACTTACACACAACCAGAAAGACGTTAGAAAAATTACAGTCATTCAATAACATCACATCCTCAACTAGCTCTGGACTCTGGGACTCGATTCGCTCTCAAAACCGGACCGAACACATTTACAACGTCACACGACACTCACTGAAACTCACAACTGGACATGGCCTCCTGCAGGTTGCTGATGATCGGATCCAAGGCATCCATCTTCAAGCCCTCCAAAGCTGCCGCAGCGACATTGAGGATCTCGCTTCCCCGCGCGTCTGGCTTGAGGTTCTGCTTCCAACTCGTAGGTCCATGGTGGCGGTCATGGGTCGTATCACTGAGCTTCGCAATCAACTCCTTGGATGAGGAACTTGAGGACTCTGCCAAACTTCCCAGTGCCTCCAGCACCGGTGCACTCACCCAATCCAAGCAAGTGAAGTCAACAGACGGACCCGGGATGTCATCAGGAGCCGACTCCTTCAGCTTCTCGGCCTTGGTGTGCAACACGTCAGCTTGCCGGAGGAAGTAGTTCAGCAATCCGTTCCTCACGTCATTCTTCAAGCGTAGCTCCACGGTCCGGCCTTGCTTCAGCCATCGACCTTCGGCGAGCATCACGTTCGTGTAGTCCTTGAGCCAACCGAGACGCGTGTTCCATTTGTCCTGGGCTGCTGGATCCTTGAACCCGGTCGCCACCATCTGGATGGCCACATCGATCTGCGTCACCTCGAGCTTGCCCTCCTTGGCCTGCCAAAGGTCGGTCAACTCAACCATCTTTTGGCCCATTAGCTTTATTAACCCTCTAGACTCTAGACTCTAGACTCTAGGCGCTAAGAATTGTGGGCAGTCGAGTCACTCCACGTGTCATTCCAAAAGACAGGCCTACATTTGGCAGTCAGGTGTGGCTTGCGGTAGACATGAGCCGCTTCCAAATTTGGAAAACCTCTTCAATGACACCACCACCGTTTCAATGGCAAAAAAGTGAAATCCTCCATCCAAAAACCCGGCTAAAGATGCTACAGCTACAGAATGCCAATACACAGCATAGCCAATACACACACACAGTATTGAATTGAAAGAGGCTGTTTCATTTCTAGAGCTAGTACATACCATCGCTCTGGGATTGTGGAGCTGTGATGTGTTCATGTTTGAAAACCTAGGAATCTACAATCTGCAGACATTCAAAGAACCCTACTCAGCCCTACTCATACTCATATTCTCAACCCATACCTCAAGGCCACCAAACTTATTGCCTGCAAACAACAACCACATGTTGCTCAACCTGCCTTGGCCAAAAGGTCCTTCGCTGCAAGATCCGTCAGAAGCTGCAGGTCCTCGAAGTTGGTGTCCGTGCCACTGTCACCCACAGCCTCAATCACTTCCTTGATCTCCTCGTACGGGAAGATAAGCTCTGCATCTTCGGCCACTCCAAGCAAAGAAGTGCGAATCTCTGCCAGGTTCTTCCAGCCAAGCTGCTTGGACATCCTGGCAGACCAGTCCATGATCTTCAACTCCAGCTCCAGCAAGCTTCTTTCATTGCCAGAGAACAGGCGAAGGCCTTGCAACATTACTAATGTCTTACGCGGCATATATGTACGACAAAGCCTAGACCGCTGGCCCTCAAAAACCGCACCACCACCACTAGCAGTAGCACTATCAAGTGTGTCCTTGCAGCACCACACGAACATGGTCAGCTGGCAATCCCTCGACGTCAGACTTCTCTAGGGTCTTCGTGCCGACCTCTTGCAATCGTCGTTGCAAGCAATCCTCCAAGGATCTGGTGGCTCCCGGTCGCAGCACACGCTTCAACTCACTCAGCTTCTGCACACTCCTGCGAAGCTCGTCAGTGACAGCCACATCGGACGAGGACATCTCCTTCGCAAGCCCTTCACACATGTCCCGCACGGTACCGGCATGCTTCATCGTAGCTGGCGCTGTCGTGATCACCTCGTCCACCAACTTTTGCCAGCTAGCAGTGCTCAGACACAAAGCCACAGCAGACTCCAACTTGTTCTGGCTCTTGGCCTCACCACCGACAAGCTTGGACACCGCTGCGATGTTGCTCTCGAGATTGCCGGGGTTGAGGAGCATCGTCAAGGAGACGAAGACGTCCGCCAAGTTCTCGGCTACCGCACGTGCTGCGGGCAGCAACCTGTCGGACTCCATTTCCCGCACCTTGTCGTCGTTGAAGGCCTTGACGTATGCCTCGGACACACGCAGCAGGAGCTCGCGCTTTGGGCCGATGTCCTCGTTGTCAAACAGCTGCATGAATGCAGTGTTGGTGATGGCACCGAAGACGATGTCTTGAAACTCCTTTCAAGAGCACCGTGAAAATGTCTATCAAACCAATGACTGTGTCTTCCGACTGCTTGCCAAAACCCAAGGACGAAGCACGAGCTCACGAGCCCAACCACAATCACAAAAAGATCCTTCTCGAATCACGATCGTCTCGATCCAAAATGGTCACGGAGCACCGTGGTTGATCTATTCCAGACCAACCTCACTGTTAATAGGAGAACACAAGTCTTGTGCAGCAGCATCGGCACAAGAATATCGACGGCACCAGCTCACTTCGAACTGGAGCTTGCAACGAGGAGCCCCGCCCACAGTCCGCATAAAGACACAATCGAATAAAGCTATCGGCCGGCTAGCTAGAGGTGTAGAGTCAAGTACACAGTCGAATGACTAATTTAGTGAGTCTGGTGTGTTAGACTGTTACACCTTTAGGACGCGCACTGCTACTGCTACTACTGCTACTCCTGGTTTCGCAACCCCACCTGGTTCAGCGCCGCACGTTGCTGCTGGGTCTCCTCACTCAACGCTGCGCTCATGTCCATGTCCTCATCCTGGATCTGCTCTGCAAGCTCCACTGCCAAGGCTGCAAAGAGGGGTCTCGCGAAAGTCCACTTCATCTCCTCTCCTGCAGCTTGGTCCGGTGTTTTCCAGACCGACATGATGTCGACAAACTCAGCAATCAAGGGAGCCTGCTTCTTCTGCCTGACCTCCTTGAGCTGGAGGGTGTCACGCAGGTCCTCCGACAGGAACTCGACAACCTTTTTGCTGACAACAAGCCTCATGCTACGGGGCAGCTCATAGCCCCTGTCGTGGAGGGTCTTCACCGAAAGCTTCAAGTCTCGCTTAGACAACGTTGACATGCTCTGCGCGAGGCCGTTGGCCAGTTCGCAGCTCTCTATGATCTTCTCGAGGTAGCGGTACTGGAACTGCTTCTTGTTCTGCATCACCTCTGAAACCTTCCTGGCCTCAGCCACACTCAATTGTTGGATTCTCTGGGGTTCAAAGCAGAGAAACATACTGACGGCCCAACGGTTGCATGAAGAGTATAGTCTTGGCATCCGGTTCGATCGAGCTACACTAGCAGCTACACTGAACAAAAAACACAGCAAACACTACCGATAAGTCCTAATTTCTCCTAAACCACTGACTTCGCGAGGTCTCTGAAGGGTTCAAAACCTACAAGCAAAAAAAAGGTGCTCTGTGCCCTAAACGAGCACGTTCCAAGGCCCCAGCTTCCTGCAGGCAGCTATCGATGGACTATAGTAAATAGAAAATAGTAAATATAGGATAACTAGGACAATAGAAAACATCGTCAGCTGCATCGGATCATCTTCGTCAGAATTGACACCTGACTGCATCGGACCAGATTCCTCAAACTCGACATAAAAGTGCATCAGATCAATTCGACAGATTTGAAGTATACCTGCATCGGATCAGATTTAAAGTGTAACGGCATCGGATCACCTTTGTTAGTATATGAAGTATGACTGCATCGGATTACAACCGCATCTTGATTGGAAGAAATACTGGGATCACTTTTATGTTGCACACATAAAAGCCTGGATTCAACAAATCATACACCTTTAGCTTCATGGGCCGGCGCACGACATTAATGGATTACCCATGTCATCAGCCGTTACAGCTACAGCTACATTACAGAAATCACTGACACTCTTGGGTTCGGGCTGCATCCACGCTTCTCATCAGGCGTTGGCCATCGAGAATCTTGTCAACATCCAAGCTGTAGAAGCAACGGGGGATGCTCTGGAGGGCTTCGGTGACCTTCTCCAGGTCCGGATGTGGAAGGGGCTGGGAAGTCCCTTCCACAGTCGCATTCATGTCGTCGGAATGCTCATCGTCCTCCGCCTTATTCTTTTTGCTCCTGGATTTCTTTGCAGGCCTTTTGGCAACAGCCTCCTGAATTCGGGAGGAAGCAGCGTGCATCACCTTCTTCTTCTTGCAACCGTCATCGTCCGAATCCGAAACCTGCTTCATCTCGATAGTGGGGGCTGGCACCCGGCCGGCTTTCATGATCTTCTCCTTCATGCCCTCAACCGTGGTGATGTCCTTGATGCCCTTCTTGCTGACCGGCATGGCATCGCTCTGGTTCTGCGCCGCGAAGTCGAAGTGCCTGCGGGCCTGCTCTTGGACGATCTGCTTCGATGCTTGCACCAGCATCTCCTCCTGTGTGACACCCACCTTGTTGTAGAACTTGACCTTCTGGATGGAGAAGATTGTTGCCAAGTCCAATCCCTTCAGGCTGATGACATAGAAGGTGCGCTCGTCGCCCAAAGCATCCGGAATCTTCACCTCCGCACATGACCTGGTATTCTTCAATGGGTTGCATGGGGATCTAGGCCCAGGTAAACTAGATAAGTTTAAGGCCAAGGGCCTAAAGGCTACCAGTGAGGCCATCAGTGCCTAAAGGCCTGAAGAATGAATTATACAACCGGAAAGCTCGACTGGCTACAGAAAAGGGTCTTCGGTACTGTTGAACCTTTGGGCAAATCACACAGCTCGACCAGCTCTGCCTCCGACACCACACCGAACTCGATGTAAGTTTCAAATCCCCGGGAAGTCGAGTCGTGCACGTTGGAGGGCCGTGCAACATCAGGCTCTTCGTCGCCTGATTTCACAGCGGTCCAAGTGGCGAACTCGGCCCGATTATTGGGATTCCTGTCGAGCCTGCACACCGCAACATTCAATTAGGGCCCTAATTTACACAAGCAGTCTATCATTCTAAACTCCTAAAAACATGCATGCACTTGACAACACAACCCTGCCCGGCCAGGTGCAACCGCAGGCCCACGTTGATCCAGGGTGGACGTCTGTCCAGGTGGAACAACAAAGGTAACAAGCGTCGCTGACCTTGTTGCCCATCCCGTCCTCACTGGCCATCACCGTCTCCTGGTCCAACACTTCTATCGCACTCTGTTTCGCCACGCACATGAACCCTGCTTGTATCGTTTCTTGCGAGCACAAAATTCCGGGAACAACCTGCTGGTGACAGCCTACACTGTCAGTATACAGTGTGATATGTTGACTATATACTTACTTTGGATTATAAACCGTTCTTTTGGGGCTTGAACTCCCTCTCTGATGCGACGGCCCGGGCACACAACAAATGACTGCAAAGGACATCAAGTTTTGGGAGCAATGTCCTCGGACGTAGCCCCGCAATTGTGGCATGTTGCCACAGTTCTCTTCATCTTCTTCGACTGTCGAGTCGAAGATCGTATGCTTTGACCATCATCGATGTCGGCGATGTCGGTTTCCCCCCGTTTGGGGGTAGCCTTGGCCTTACCCTTGGCTCGCGACGTCTCCTGAAAACAGGGGGTAATTCAAGTGGGAGAACATAGCTTTTTGAGGGCATCTGAATATCTAGTTAAAGTTCAGTGAATGATACTTCAACAGTAGACTGAGTAAACAATGGCCCCAGTTGTTCCTTGTTTAGCACTAGGACGACTAGGAGACTAAGACTAGGAAAGACATCCAACGAGGACCGCCACTTCGGAACAAACCACAGAACCACTCGGAGATTGTAACCATTCATCGGTCCTTCGGCATGCTTCCGCAACTCTTCACAAAGGCTGCACACTGCCCTACCGAAGCTGAAAATGCTGATAGGAACAATCGACACTGCTCAGTCCCAAGCCTTGCGCAACTGCAACAAACCTGGGTGACCTATGGACAGGTCTGGCAGCAAGCTCCTGAGTGCTACAAGGTACCATTTACTTCGTTTTCCAAGCTCAGCCGCCAGGTCGCTAGGTCCAGGTAGCAGTGTCGCATGGCACTGACACAACGCCGATTCCACTAGACGCTGCACAGCACCTTGCAGATCTGCAGTTGCTACTCACTAGCAGCTAGCACTAAGTCAGAGTGAACACTGTTGCCACAGGCCATTGCAATAAGCAGGCCATGTTCAAACTCCCAGACACAAACAAAAGGTCATACACACAGCTGCCACATGTGTCCGCAGTTAGGGATGCTAGACTGTTCAAACACAAAGTCCACACTCCATGGCTGCCCAAAATAAAGAAACAACTGCGTTACACATTCTGCATTCAAGTCTAAATTGACCAACATGAAGCTGACTGCTCAACACGATCCCTGGGGCTCTGGCAACCTTGCAGTCAAATTGCACTGCAGCAGATCAGGATTCTACGAAAGCCGGGCTGAGCTGTTGTGAATTAGTTTGGCAGCACAGGCAGGCACACAAGCATCGACTCAGTTAGCAACGCACACTTCATCAAAGGAAAATTACAAATCCCACGCTCCGCCTGACTGTACTAGCCCGAGCCCCGGCCACTGTGCACTGCTGTAGCCTGCTGTTCCAGCGCTCTAACACATCTTTGATTTAGGGAACTGCTTGCAAAGATAGATGCACCAAATCACAGCTGCCACACAAGGCAAAGCAAAGCCCTCCCCGGCCAGCTGGGAGATACAACTCTCAGACAGGTTGGGTAGGCTTAACGTTTGAGGCTGGCCGTGCAAAAGCATGAGTTCACGGCCGGTCAGCACACTATCACGGTCAAAGGAATAAATCACCGAGCTTGTCGACAAACTGTGGTTCACTCCGTACTTGTTGGTGTGGCTGCCACGACTGAATGCTTGCGACACGTCCATGTACTGCCCACGCATCAGCGCAGAGAGATCACCATCAAGAGGAAATCGGTTTTCTGTACACTTTTCAATGACATAGCAATCGAGAGCATCCAAAATTCTCGGTGTCTTCGGAAGCCCTTGGCCTTTAAATCCATCACGTCCTGTCCATGGCTTGCAAGTAGAGGGGACCTTCATAGCAGCTCGAAAGTCAGCTGCCTCCTTCTCCCACACAGTCGCGCCCTCTGTGTCAGGTACTCGATGCTCCTGAAGATGATGTCACTATACTTTGCAGAATTACACATGATTGTCAATGAGCAGTACCCTCCTCTGCATGGCCGCTCTATGTCAGCTGCAAGTATATAAGCACGTTCTCCGAAGGTGTGTGCGTGTGTGCTAACACTACCTCCTTTCTTAGCAACCCGTGCACCGCAACAGGGACAGGCAGCCCGAGAGGGGATGGTTGGGCGTCGGGCCAGTTTGCTTTTGGAGCTGGGGGGCTAGGAAATGAACCCCTCTCGGCTCGAGAAGGGGGGGGTTGCTTTCGGGGCTGGGGCGGCTGGAAATTGGTATTTTATGGCTTTATGGAACGCTTCCTGGGTTGACGGTGTTTGGTGGTTTGCGGGAACGGGTGGCAGGGGCCACAACGCGACGTACCCCAGCCCGGGCCAGCATCCAAAGGGCGGGCTCAGCACAGGCTCAGCAACTCCATTTTGAGGCTCTTTTTTAACCCATTCTCAGTCCCTTTTTTGGCACTTCGAATCCCTTTCTTTTGTGCTTTCAATCCCTTTTTTGCTTTCTACCTGGTTCTGTGGCACACTATTTTCTCACTTTTTTCTCACTTTTTTCTCACTTTTATACTATAAATTGAGAGAAACCAGATTTTTGCTCCAATTCCGACCAGGCAGCCTCGATCTCTCACTTTTTCTTCACTTTTTCCTCACTTTTACACTATAAATTGAGAGAAACCAGACTGGCTCCGAAATTCCCACCACCACCCCAAAAGTGGCCCAGAAGTGCAAAAAGAATGAGAAAATAAAGAAGGCATGGTAAGTGCATTCTCGGAAACAAAGCGCACAAAATGCATCTCAGAAAGCGCCGAAAAAGGGTCGGAAAGTGGAGTCTGTCTGTAGGGCCGGAAACAGAATGCAAAAATAATGACTCTGGCCTCCGAACACTGGGCACTGGGCTCCACCCCGCCCCCAATCCATGTCGTCGAGTTTCGGCGACCTCCCCGATTCCATAACTTGGATTCCATCCGCCTCAAACATTCCCCAAGCACCCAGAGCCACGTCTACAGCACAGCCACACACAGTGAACATGTTGAGTTTGCTAGGCACAC